ATCTATTTTTTCTCTTAAGAAATTTATTTAGTCAGAACATATGTAAATGAAAAAATTAATTTAAGTGAGTTATAGAAAAGAAACTAAAAAAAATTATTGTTTGAAGTCTTTTTTACTTTCAAGTCTGGGCAATTTCGCACGGCTCTCTAATGTCGTCGCCATAACAGCCTCTACATTTTCCGGTATAACCCGTTTGGAAATGCTAGCTAGCAAGTGAACATGTCGTTCCGTTCCTTGTATGTGTGATGGAATTTTTGGATCATTAAACGGTGGATCATCTTGATTTAAATATTCTTTCAATGTATCGTACGGAATGCTTCGCGTGAATGGTGGTTCAAATACGATATTTATATCATTCAAATTGATCATTTCCGTATAACTTGTGCAATTAAAGTTTATATCTGGTTTTTTATAAACTCTAAGTTCCATTGGCTCGTCAACATCGGTTCGATAGCGTAGAATTTTCTTGATGGCACAGTCGCGCTTTTCTCTGCTATCATCAAACAACATTGATAACAAGATATTTTCCGAATGCGCATAATATGAATTATCTTTAATTACTTGATTGACAATTTTGCGTAAACGAGGTTCTAGAAATCGTGACCAACCAATGAACTTGAAAAATAATGCACTGCCGTACACGACAGAGCTGTAATACTTGATATTGAAGTACATTGGCACATAACATTTAATTATAAATTCAACCAGAATCCTTAAATTTGCATCTGAATTTTCCGTTGTCACATATAATCGCAATAATCTAGCGGCCTTGGTGAGCCACCGAGAATGTACAATTTTCCCTGTTTGATGGTAGCCAGATCCACCGGAACCACGCCGCTAGAAATTGCATGGGCCATGTCGTATAAGTACTTCGAATCGGTGGAAAATTCAATTTTTTCTGGAGCAGGGGGCATATTTTGCAACTCAATTTTCTGGAAGCCGTCCACCACCTGAAAATATATAATAATAAAATAATTAAAACTGGTTGACAATTATAATAAATGAGTGATAGCAATAACTTACCGGAAGAGTTTCACAAGTTTCGATTTGACGACTCAGTTTTCCGGTTGCCGATCTTGGTCCAGTGCTGGTTGATTTATCCAAAGCTTCAAACAAATGCCGAAACGGAAGTTCGTTGAAGTGTAGAAGGCAAACGAACCAATGCAATGGTCTTTTTAACAGCAATTCGAATCGTCGTATAATTCCACCGTATGGGCCAGTGTTTGTTGGCTCACCGTCAGTGCATATTCCAATTAATGCATCCAGTGATATATTTTTATCGTTGAAAAAACCATTTAATTTGGTTGTTTTGTATTCAGCGGTTTCATGTTCCAGTCTTACGTAACCAATCAATTCAGAATTGGGTTCTCTCAAAATAACAAGATGAGGTTCTTTTACCATCCTAGTATGATACTTCTCATCAATTTTATCTATCGTTAAAGTATCATCATTTCTGCCATCGAATGAAAACGCTAACAAATTGGAATCATCCGTTTGCGAAGCACTTCTTGTCTGCATTTCTCTTTTTCTCTGCGAACTTTCGATTTATCCATGATGAGAGGTTTCCCATGCTTATCTTTAATTTTAAAATCTTGCAAAAGAGCGGTTCCCAATGCTGATGCTACTCTGTCAGGCACACCAAATCTGTCACATACCAAGGCAAAGTTAAAACAATCGTATCTCTCTGTGTATTGTGAACTTGTGCTTCTATCCATATCTTCTTGAACCGGTGGCGGTGCGTATGTTGAATCATCGGGATCTTGGTATGTTGGCATTGATGACATAGACGTTGCTCCTTGCTCTTCAGTTTCCATCACAAATGCATCCATTGTTAGTCTTCTCTGATTATGTTGATCGTGCATGAACTCTTTGAGGCGTTCGGGAACCCAGCCGTATGCACATGGAGCTGCCTTCAAATCGCATTTACATGTTCCAATGTAAAAAATTGTTTCCAGAGATTTTACATACTCTGTAAATTGTTGGGTGTTGTTTCTTCTCTTGATTTGCTCTTGATACTTGTCAAGCAATTTATTCAATTTATTAAATACACATTTTTTCATCCAAGTTTTTCCCAAATTCCAATCAGCTTATCTTGTACTTGAATAGTGAATGATTTATGGGAAAACTTTTTTTGTTCTGTTTTAGCACGTTCGCTTAAGTAAAAATAATATCTCAAGATATCCAGATGGGTTGGTAAATTAAGATCAGTTAAATCAGTAGACACACCAAAAACAGTAACATCATGCTTGGGTATATGACTCATTGGGTTTTCGATAGTTGTTGATGTAGTTGCTTCATCGTGCGGTGTAGAGGATGGTGGATTCATTGTAAACTTTTTGATTTGGAATGGTCACTTCACTTATTATTAATATTTTTGAAATATTTTTTTATCTGAAATTAGTACTTCACACTTTGAGTTCTTCACAACGACTTAATGCATTCACAAAAACTGTTGCGTTATATATGGTCTACGAGACGAGGTAATAAGAATGAAATGGTAATTTCAATTCTACCTACTGTGTCTTGTGGTGGCTTAAAAAAAACAACACAAGCAATTTTACGATCTGCAATTGTGTCACAGTAATACCTTCATTGTTTAAAAGGGTTGCGGTGCATTCCAGTGATACCTTAATTGTTAAAATGGTTGCAAAAAACGCGCATTTCTTAAGAAGGTGCCCTAAAATACCCACAAAAAGGGATTGTAAAAACAACCTTCATTTCTTAAGTAGGTGCTATAAAAAAACTAGACAGTAAGTTTACGACATGCAGCTGTGTCTTAAAAAACGCACACAAGCAATTTTCCGATTTGCAGTTGTGTCACAGTGATACCTTCATTTTTTAAAAAGGTTGAATAAAAAACCCACACAACTGTGTTTACGACATGCAAATGCATCACAGTGATGCCTTGGTTTTAAAAGGGTTGTAAAAACGCTAATTTCTAATAACTTTTTTTTTAATTTCTTTTCTATTACTAAGTTAAATTCATTTTTTCATTTACATATGTTCTGACTAAATAAATTTCTAAAGAGAAAAATAAACTCCAAAAAGAAAAAACATAGGCATTTCGCTGATTTTTTCATGTAAAGTGCAAAACCGGCGATTTTTTGAAATGTTTGTATGGTGAACCCCCAGGGGGGTTCCAGAAGGTGTGCTATGGCATCGGTGGGTCGGGCCTCCAAAGTTAGTGGGGGTCGGTCATACATTTGGACTCGATTGGAGCACTCTAAATGGGTCAAAGTGGGATTTTTCAAAATTTGCCCCTACCCAAAAGTTCGACCCTAATTGGGGGACATCAGAATTCGTTTTAGAGGTATGGTTCCTTCGGCAAAGTTTCTTATTTTGATCCCTAGAATATGATTTTCACAGAGCAATGGACGATTTTTTTGCCTCCCNGTTTGCCTCCCCACAAACCGACCCGGCCTAGTATACATACATATGTATAGCATGTACTTACGGCCGCCGCCGTAGCAGAGTGATTATACAGTGAAACCAGCTTAAGTATCACCCCACTTAAGTGTCTAACCCGCTTAAGTAACCTACATTTTTGGACACCATGAATTTTTTAATGTATTCTGAAGAAAATCCCTCTCTTAAGTACCTCCCCGCTTAAGTAACCAACCCGCCTTAGTACCTCAATTTTTCATGCCCCATTTACAATTTTACTTATAATTTTCCCCTTTTAAGTGCTCTTTTAAAATTCCTTAAAATATTTATGTATTTTGAAATTCAGTAGCAGCGCCACACACCTTCGGTAAAAAAATTCTAAAAAATCAACGGTAACTTTTAGCCACTTGAAACTTGCACATTATTACACTAAAATTGAATGGGCTAAAAAACTGTATACTCAAAAAACACTTCTGAGAAAAAAGTTTGAAATTATGATGATTTTTGTTTTAAGTGTTCTACAAAATCTTAAGCTTAGGATTATATGGTATTTGTTAGGGAATGAACTGCATTTTAATTGATTGAAAAATCTTAAAAATTAATAAATAAACATAAGTGGCAAACAATATTATTGTGAATTTGGTACAAAATGATATGTCCAACTTTGACTTTTTAAACAATTTAATTCTTGTAAAAATGATATACCATTGCACTAAATATTTTTTTTAAATAAAGTTTTTCTTTACATTTTTATGTATTTACATAATACTACGATTTTGGTTTTAAACTATGTATACTTCATTAAATGTTGTTGTTCAAGTATTTATGTAAGTTAACAAGAAGATGTAACTACATCAGTAATTATGTCCGCTAAGTACCCGCATCGAGGTACTTAAGCGGGTTCTTTTAAGTACCCAACCCGCCTAAGTACCTTAAAAAGCTGAAATGTTTCGTGAGGTACTTAAGCGGGTTTTACTGTATGTGCGTACTTCCACTCCATGGGACCATGGTTAGATCCCTGGTCAGATCATAATCCACAATAGCAGTCGTCCTTCGGCACGCAATGGCAAACCCTCGAGTGTACTTCTGCCTTGAAAACTCTTCTTATAAAATCATTTGGCGTTAGGAGTCAGCCTTAAATATGTAGGTGTCTCCATTTGTGTCACAACAACAAAATTCATGCCTCAAGTTTGAGGAGAAGCTCGGCCAAACACGTAGAAAAATATTTTAGCAGCAAATATTTATTTGTTTACTTGTTTTAAGGTAGATGGTAAATCCTGAAAAAATGGATGTGGTTAGAAATACTTTTGAATTTTCATCCGTAGACATAATCTGCGTTTCTGAGACCTGGTTCAAAACTGATATTAGTGACTCCCACTATGATATTAAAAATTATAAACTTTTCCGATCTGACAGAAATGGAAAAAAGGGTGGGGGGTAGCGATATATTGTAAAAAATACTTGAATACGAAGCTGATTTCTCAATCAATCGATGGTAATACTGAATACTTGCTTGTTGAGCTGTCCAACTCTGTATGTAAAGTACTTTTGTCATGTGTTTACAATCCTAATAAATGTTGTAGCGTTTGTGATTATTTTGATGTTCTGTCCCCTCTAGCGGTTGTTTATGAAAATATTATTGTTTGTGGAGACTTCAATGTTAATTTGCATAGCCAAGATTCCTACAGTTCTCGATTAGGAGATGTCGTCGCTATTGTTGGATTATCGTTTGTTAATACATCTCTACGCGGCCGCTGTGGTGTAGTGGTAAGCAGTGCGCGCTTTCACTCCGCAGCGCCTCGGTTCAAGCCCTGGTCAAAGCAACATCGCAAAAAAATTTTGAAAAAAGGTTTTTTCTCAACAGCGGTCGCCCCTCGGCAGGCAATGGCAAACCTCCGAGTGTATTTGTGCCATGAAAAACAGCTTCTCATAAAAATACAATCGCCGTTCGGAGTCGGCGTAAAACTGTAGGTCCCTCCACTTTGTGTGACAACATCAAGGCGCACGCCACAAATCGGAGGAGAAGCTCGCCCAAACACTAACATGTGTGTAAGCGCCAATCTATTATTATTAATACATCTCTACCTACAAGATATGGAAATAACTGTTGTCCAAGTCTGCTTGATTATTTTATTGTGTCTGACCCTCAAAGTGTGCTAAAATTTGATCAGCTGTCCTTTATATCAGACTATGATCTCATTTTCTGTTCTTTTGATTTGAATCTTACTTCTGACCGTACTAACTTAGTAAACAGCCATATCTCATTTGACTACCGTTTTCTAAACGTTGATAATCTCTTAACTGACCTCTCACACATTAATTGGTCTATGCGCTGGGGACTTTGCACAGTGAATGAGAAGCTTGCCTTTTTGAATGACAACGTTCTGAGTGCTCTTAGAGCTCATGGCCCGCTACGCACTTTTGAGAACAGATCCTCATCGTGCCCTTGGTTCAACTCTGCGGTCCAAACTATGATCAGAAAGCGTAATAAGGCTTATTCTCGGTGGAAAAAGAACCGTTCAGATGCAAATTGGTCTGCATTTAAGGCAGTTAGGAATGAAGCCACTTCAGTAATTAAACGTGAAAAGCGCAGGTTCTTTGGAAAAAAGTTGGATCCCTCACTCCCCAATAATGTCCTGTGGCGAAACCTAAAAAATCTCCGCGTACATGTCAATAACAGGTCAACAAATAATTAGCGTCAGACAAATACCCACTACCTAGAATCGATGATATTCTCGATCAATTGGGTCGTGCCAAATATTTTTCCTGTCTGGATTTAATCTCTGGCTTTCATCAAATAGAATTAGAGGAGAATTCAAGAAACATAACGTCTTTCTCATCCGATCAAGGATCATTTAGATTCAAGCGATTACCATTTGGATTAAAAATTGCACCCAACTCATTCCAACGAATGATGAATATTGCATTTTCCGGCCTTAAGCCGAATAAAACCTTCATTTATATGGATGACTTAATAGTTGTAGGCTGCTCGGAAAATCACATGCTCAAGAATTTAAAATCAGTTTTTGATGTTTGTAGAGCCACAAATCTTAAACTTCACCCAGATAAATGCAAATTCTTTGACTCCCAAGTAACATTTCTGGGACACAAATGCACAGATCAAGGAATCTTGCCAGACGAATCAAAATTCGACAAAATTCTTACCTACCCAAAACCAACAAATGCTGATGAATGCAAAAGATTTGTAGCATTCATTAATTACTATAGAAGATTCATACCGAATTTTTCTATTCATGCAACACATATTACCAAATTAACGAGAAAGAAAACTCCATTCATCTGGACAACCGATTGTGATAATGCATTTGAATACCTCAAAAATTCTTTATTATCACCTAACATACTTCAATATCCCGATTTTGAAAAACCTTTCTGTATAACCACCGATGCAAGCAAAATAGCTTGTGGTGCCGTATTGAGTCAGGATTATAATGGTACACAATTACCTATTGCCTTCGCGTCAAAAACATTCACTAAAGGGGAAGCCAACAAGTCAGTTATAGAGCAAGAACTTACGGCAATCCATTGGGCCATAAATTTTTTCAAGCCGTACATTTATGGTACTAAATTTTTAATAAAAAGTGATCACAAGCCGCTAACATACCTCTTTGCACTAAAGAATCCTTCCTCCAAATTAACAAGAATAAGGCTCGACCTCG